AGTAAACTGGGCTAGATTGTGGTTGTTTAATGTGTTTGTATATTTGATTGTTGTTTATTTGATTTGATTTCATTTGGCTTTAGTTTTGCTTATAATAGAAAGTTTTACTTAATAGGCGTGTCTTTGTAAAATAAAAAGTTCTCTTGCAGAGAGGTGTAAACCAAAAATAAAATTCTAAGACCCGTTAACCATCTGAATGGACCTCTCCTCTCAGTCAGGGTGTTTCAAAGTTAACCTGAAAAACTGGTTCAGGCCATGCTGGGAAGGGAGGGTTGGACCTGCCTCATTATGTCCTCCTCCCTTTTGGAATTCAGGAAAAGCTGATCAGCATTTAACATCAACACAGACCTTAAGTGTAATAAAAACCATTTACAATCTGTTCTCTCTGAAGCCTGCTACCTGGAGGCTTCATCTGCATGATAAAACTTTGGTCTCCACAGCCCCTTATCATAATCCAAACATTTCTTTCTATTGATAATAACTTTTTCAACCAATTGACAATCAGAAAATTTTTACATCTACCTATAACCAGGAAGCCCCCACTTTGAGCTGTCCTGCCTTTCTGGACCAGAACAATGTATGCTTACATGTATTTGATTGATGTCTCATGTCTCCTTAAAATGTATAAAACTAGACTGTGTCCCAGCCACCTTGGGCACATGTTCTCAGGATCTCCTGAGGGCTGTGTCATAGGCCATTGGTTACTCAAATTTGCCTTAGAATAAATCTCTTCAAGTATTTTACAGAGTTTGACTCTTTTTGTCAACAGAGGCTTTGGTATTCCTATTTTCCATTTTATGTAAACTCTTTATGTAAACTCCCATATATTCCTCTTGTGTTTTAAAAGATGGGGAGAAAAATCCACACAGTGGCCCCTCTCTTCCCAAGTTGTCACGCTGAGTGCTGCTTGGCAGTGTTGAACAAGAATACACCAAGTTTCATTTACTTGCATGCAATGAACTGATGTTTAGGCACTAGTGCTGTAGGCAGAATCAATGTGCCACTGGGTCAAGGTGATTTTCAGTCTCAAGTTTCCTTTCTTCTCTTTTTTTTTTTTTTGGAAAAAGAGTCTCACTCTGTTGCCCAGGCTGGAGTTCAGTGGCATGACCTTGGCTTACTGCAACCTCTACCTTTTGGGTTCAAGTGATTCTCATGCCTCAGCCTCCCAAGTAGCTGGGGCTATAGGTGTGCACCACCATACCTGGATAATTTTTTGTATTTTTAGTAGAGATAGGGTTTCACCATGTTGGCCAGGCTGCCTTTCTTCTTTCTTGCATATGAACATCAGAACACTCCATTGTCCCTTAAATTTAGAACAAGATGATTTACATTACATCAAATTGCATAGCAGTTAAAAGCTGGCCATTAAAAAAATAGAATTGTGTGGCTATCAGGAAACTAACATTTGTGGAGTGTATGAGTTTTCTACGGCTGCTGTAACAAAGTGTTACAGACTGGGCCGCTTAAACAACAGGAATTTATTTTCTCACAGTTCTGGAGTTTTGAAGTCCAAAACCAAGGTGACAACAGGGTTGAGCAGGGTTGGCTCCTTCTGAGAGCTGTGGGGGAAGGATGTGTTCCAGGCTTTTCTCCTTGGCTTGTGGATGGCCACCTTCTTCCTGTGTCTTCACGTTACCTTCCCCTATATGTGTCCAAATTTCCTCTTCAGATAAGAACCACAGTCTTATTGAATTAGGGCCCACCCTAATGACCTCACTTTAAATTTACTACCTCCATAAAGATCCTTTTTCCAAATACAGTTACATTCTGAGGTACCAGGGGTTAGGACTTCAACATGTGGATTTGTACAGAGGACACAATTCAGCCCATAACATGGAATGTCTCCAGGGTCCCAGGAAGATTCTGGGTACTTTCATAAACATTAATTTATTTGACCTTCACAAAATTGCCACACTACAGGGACATTGTGATCCCATTTCACAGATGAGAAAAACAGACTAAGAGCAATGACTTACCTCGTACAATGTCGCTAGCTAAAAAGTAGCAAAAGCAGGATTTGAACCTAAATTTGTATGATCCATTATACCAAGCTGCTTCTACGTGTTTTCCTTCTCAATTCTTTTCTTCCTTTGTAAATGTCATGTTTGGAATCAAAATAAAGTCCAGGAAAGTTTGGCTCTATGCTTTTGGCTAGGAAGACTGATTTCTATAAATATGTTTGGCCTCCTATTTAGTGGCAGGGCTTTTGCTCCTGGATGCCTATGCTTTTTCTCTGCATTTTTCAACCTTCTCTAGCAGATCTCAGGACTCAATAGGAAGCGTTGCTGGCAGATCCAGACAAGGTGTTAACATCTGCTCTAACACTGTCATCTAATAAATGGGTCATCTGGTCAGTGGAGAGTTTGGATTGATTTGACCTGCTCATTACTGGGAAATCTTGAATATCTCTCAAATGGTGAAACTCCTTTAAGTGGGAGGTTACATCATAAAGGGCAGAAGCTTTTCTTTGTTTGGGTTTGAGCCAAAAAATGGAGAACTAAGGAGAGAACATCTATGGGTAGACAAGATACAACCTAATGTAAAGCTTGCTAAGACAGTGGGAGGAGATTAATGATGAAGATGTTCCTATCTCCTAAGAGTTGTTGAAACCCTCCAGTTGTGAATGTAATCAGGATAGTACCAGGCTCAAGACAGATAGAGCACTCTTCACTGCCAACCAACTAAGTGTAGTAAATGAAACCAGTAAGTGAGATTGGAAAAATGCTCAGCCACATCCATAAATAGCCTGTGGTTGACTTAAATATTTAGAAATACATGCTCTTTCCCAAGAAATAAAAAATGGCACTTTTCCTAGTAACATAGTGCATATGATATGATATTATAATACTATGACTCTAATTCTGGCTGTACCACTTAGTGCCAGTGTGTGCTGGGCACATTAATCTCATTGAGCATCAATTTCTTCATCTGTCAAACCAGCATGAAGGCAACTATGAAGGTCAAATGAGATTGTATTTGAGAGCCTTGCAAACTATAGAATGGTATGCATGTGTTAGCTATTTTTATTGTTATTTTATTTTTAGCCCAAATCTAACAGAACCCATAATTATGCTGAATTATCCAGTTTGAGTATCCAATTTATGGATTATCCAGGCCTCCTGTTTTCCTTCCCCTTTTTAGTTCTTGTATGCTTTTTAGTCCTTTGAAAATGCCTTAGGAATAATGAAATAGAAAATAGAGAGAATATGCAGTTAGGAATTTTCACTTTTTAAATTTTATTTTGGATATTAACAGATACTAAATGGGGAGAAAGTAGAAAACAGCCCAGTTAACGAAGAGCTTGCTGTATATACTAAAGTGGCCTGTCACATTTTAAAGGAGCTAAGCCCTTCCAAGGAAATTACCTGTCATCTGGTTTCAAAACAGTCCTGGCAGACTCCTGGTAGATGCTGACACTTTTAATTTTTCCTGAGTGCTGTTAAAATTGTAGGACTTTTGGAACCATATTCCCATATCACCTTGATGGGCCAAGTGATTGAATAGAACATGTGATAAGGATCTTTCCTCGATGATAAAGCACCATGGAAAATCCTCAGTCAGCAACTTGTAAAGTGATTGCAGATCAAGTCTCTGAGCTTTCCTTGTCCAAGCATCTGTAAGACGTTCCCTTGGAATAGGAAGGTCTCTTCATATTTGCAAATAAAATATCGTGTCCATCTTCCCAGTTCTCCCGTAGATAGTACATTACCTCTTCATTCACTGAAAACGATTGCTGCTTATTCTATATTTAGAAAGAATTGCTAATGGTGTTTCTCCTTTTCTGGGCATAGGGCAGTAAGAATCCAAATGGGGACGGGATTCATCTAGTAGAATACGTCACGGAAGCAAAGTAACTTAGCCATGGCTGAGTCCCTGGGGGATAACTTTTATTGATAATTGGTTACTTAAGAATTGAAGTTCTTAGGCTTCAGTAAGCCTTGCTTTCATGGTTTTCCAAATTCCTAACCTAGCTAGTGGAAGATGGCTAGTTTGGAGAAGGATCTATGAAATAATAGGGTGCTGTGTTCCAATTTGATATGACTCAGTCAACTGGTGGCCATCTACTGTCAGTACTCTCTGAGGAAATCTGTTAATTTCAGTCATATATCAGGATTTTAACTAAAATTCAGCATCTAATGAACCAGAGTGAACTAATTTGGTATGCCAGCATCTCTCTACTGTGCGCTCTCCTTAATGATTGCCTGAATATGATCAGGTTGATGCCAGCAGAACTATTATTCTGACAAATGCTAATCAGAGATAGGATTCTGATTGATTTTAAATTCAAATTCACTATTAACTTTTCTAACATTGTATGCTTTTTTTGATGGCCTCATTTGCATGATTTTTAAAATATGCATTTCTGGCTAAGAATTTATTATCTGAGTGTTCTTTCATTTAATACAAGTTTTTTGAGGAGTTCTTTTTTTCAAGGGCATGAAAAGATTATCAATTGATTTGCAGCAGAAATATGCTGTGGTTGAATTCCATATGACCTAACTAATAATTATCTGTCATCAGGATAATAAAGCATAAAAGTTAGGACCACTGGAGTCAATATGCCTGGGTTCAAATTCTACCATCTCCACACCACATGGAGTGTATGTAAGTGGAGTGTACATATGGAGTGGAGAAGTTATTACTCCATAGCTTTATTCTCATCCTTTGATGGAGATAACAATAGCGTTTATCTGGTAGGGTTTTGGAGAAGGTTTCATTAGAACAGCTCTTGTACCGGCCAGCTTTTGCTAAGTTATATGGCCGTAAAAATGGATCTAAAATATGAATAGCTTACACTTACAGAGGTTTGTTTCTCATTCATATTTATGTTCATCATGGATTTTTAAATCCTGTCCACAAAAGTAAATTATAGTTTGGGATTCTGCTAAACTGTAGCTATTACCCTCTGCTAGGTCAGAAAAGATTAATATTTATGTGTTTGTCATATGGTCCTCTTAAGAATAAATTAAAGTGATGAATGCTTCTTTTAATCTTTCCAGGGAAGGTGGTCTATGGCGAACCCATAGCGGCCAGTCTTGGCACAGATGGCACACACTACTGGAATAAAGAATGGCACCATGCCGCCCACCATGTCATGGGTCCACCTTTGCGACCAGACCCCTCAACACCTGACTTCCTCATGAATCTACTGGCTAAGTAATCATTTTGCAGATGACTGGGAAGTGTATTGCCAAAAGAAGGTTTGGGTGGAGAGGAGCTCGTCCTCCCATCTGGACCTTCCATTAACCTCCCAGTATTCTCTTCTACTTGACCTGACAGGCCCTGGGTACCCTCACCTGCAGAACAAAAAACATCGACTTAGTTATGCTATGATATGTTGCTAAAGCCTTTCCTAGACTCACAGAAATCAGATCACTTTCACTGAAACTTTACTCTTTTCTGACTTTTTTCATCTCTTGTTGCCTAAACCCAGGGCTCTTCATTACGCTTTACTTTTTATCAGAATATTGTTGAATTTTTTTCTATGCTGATGTAATCTGGGAACTAGGTTGTTGTGTAGGTGACCCTGTTACTTTCTGAGAAGGTATGATCATTTTTCTTGAAAATTCTACTATTCTTGGGCCAGACGCAGTGGCTCATGCCTGTAATCCCAGCACTTTGGGAGGCTGAAGTGGGCGGATCACATGAGGCCAGGAGTTTGAGATCAGCCTGGTGAACATGGCAAATCCCCATCTCTACTAAAAATACAAAAATTGGCCAGGCATGGTGGCTCATGACTGTAATCCCAGTTACTTGGGAGGCTGAGGCATGAGAATCACTTGAACCCAGGAGGCAGAGGTTGCAGTGAGCAGAGATAGTGCCATTGCACTCAACCTGGGTGACACAGCAAGACTCTGTCTCAAAAAAAAGAAAAAAAGAAAAAGAAAAGAAAAAAGAAAATTCTACCATTCATGGACATCCCGACACTCCCCATTCACAGATACTCAGTCTCAAGCTAAGAGTTTTTCATGACAGACCTTACAAGAGTTTACTTACCTGTTCTTTACAGCTTCCTTCCTCCTTCATGATTCAACATCCGCAAGATTACTCACGAGTCAAAGCAGGATTCCTGTCCCTGGTAATATCAGCATCCTCAGCCAATCTCACCCTCTGTTCATTCCAGTGGGCCGTGTGGCTCGGGACTGCCCCGGAGGACCTGCCCTCCATTCATGAGGATCACCATGGTGATGTCTTTGTGGAGTATTCTGCTCACAAGGAGTTTTCTCTTACATATTTGCTGGTGATTCTGAAGTTATCTTCATCAAGTACATATAACTATTCATTTCTAGATGAGAAACAGAGTCTCGGACAAGCTCGTATCACAGAGCTAGTAAGTGACAGAGCTGAGCTTAGAAGCCAGGTTTCCTAACCTGTCTTGCACCACGCTTCCTATCAGTGCGTCGTCTGAAGGTGCTTCCTAGAATAGAGACAGGAGACGGATGAAATATGTTCTTGAAAAAACTGTTCATTCTCCATTGCATTTTTCTGACTTCAATTGAGAAGGGAGCTAGGAGATTAGTAAAGGTTATGGCAGTTTCCTCCTAACGTGTTCTGTATACTCACCCCATCACTCTCGTGTTTTTTTCTTTTACAGTGATGATCTAACCACAACGGGGACTGATAACTGCACTTTCAACACCTGCCAGAAAGCTCTTGGGAAGGATGATTTTACCAAGATCCCCAATGGGGTGAATGGTGTTGAAGATCGGATGTCAGTAATATGGGAAAAAGGCGTGGTGGGTTCAAACGTTCCAGCCTTGCTTTGCCTAGTTCTTCAGCCAGGATCCAGCCCATTTGAGGACCAGAGTGGCACAAATTTTCATAAACAAACTTTTTGATTGTTTTTACTAGGGAGGATACGAGGAATGCAGTACTATCACCTCCACCACCATTCCATCCCTCAGTATAGCATCAGCAAAGAAATAATCTTCTCTGCATAGTTTATTTTAGTTTAGAGGATGCATCGCACCATTTTGCAGAGACATTAGGAGATGAATTAAGATTGCATACAAAGAGGGTTATTCTTGAATTCTCTGAAAAGGCATAGCCCTTCTGCTTGATTTCTCATGCTCTTGAATTCCAATGCCTCATGTGTCATTGGCACAAATACTTGAAATGATAAAAAAATACACAAAGGGGTTGGGTGCAGTGGCTCACACCTTTAATCCCAGCACTTTGGTAGGCCAAGGCGGGTGGATGACTTGAGGTCAGGAGTTCAAGACCAACCTGCTAACACGGTGAAACCCTGTCTCTACTAAAAATACGAAAGTTAGCCGGGCATGGTGGCACGAGCCTGTAATCCCAGCTACTCAGGAGGCTGAGACAGGAGAATCGCTTGAATTCGTGAGGCAGAGGTTGCGGTGAGTCAAGATGGCACCATTGCACTTCAACCTGGGGCAACAGAGTGAGTGAGATTCCATCACACACACACACACGAAAATACACGAAAGGTATTCATTATGCTTATACCTCCTTGTCATGAAATCTTTGTCGATGTCAGTTGTTTTTTTTTTGTTTTTTTTTGTTTTTTTGACGGAGTCTCACTCTGTTGCCAGGCTGGAGTGCAGTGGTGTGTTCTCAGCTCACTGTAACCTCTGACTCCCAGGTTCAAGTGATTCTCCTGCCTCAGCCTCCCAAGTAGCTGGGATTACAGATGTGCGCCACCATGACCAGCAAATTTTTGTATTTTTAATAGAGAGGGGGTTTCACCATGTTGGCCAGGCTAGTTTCAAATTCCTGACCTCAAGTGATCCATCCGCCTCGGCCTCCTAAAGTGTTGGGATTGACAGGTGTGAGCCACCATGCCCAGCCTGATGTCACTTCTTAAAGGACCCTTGGATATCATATTTTTAAATTGCTGTATGAAGTCACAAAAGTAATAATTTAAAGTCTGGAAACAAAATGTAAATGCTTATGACTAGAAAATTTCTCCCTAAGGATGGAGAAGAATCACATAACTAAATGTCTGTGTGTTAACTTGTCCAGCCAGTTGACATGTGGAGCTGTGAAGACCAGCAGAGGGGACTTGCCTGGTTAGATTTCTGGTCCCCAGTGTCATGCCCTTCTCACCCATCTCCTAGGATGCCTCCCTTGAATGACACATTAATTACATCTCACACTTCAGAATCCTCTTCAATTGCCTTTACCCTACACATACCACCTACTTCTAACTCTAATGAATTATTCACCAAGTCTTGTCAATTTTATTTCCAAAGTGTCTCCTTCTTTCTTTCTTCATTGCTGCCATTCTAGTTGGAGGCTCATATTTTGTTTGGACCTTTGCAGTAATCTCACAGCTGGTCCCCATCTCTAGGGTCTCACTTGCTACAATGTATTCTTTACTCCAGTACAAGAACTCTTGTTCTGTACTGAGAACAGCTGACAATGCTTTTATTATTATTTTTACAGTATTATAGAGGGAGGATAGGTTTCGAATGGGAGTTCTCATTCAAAAATAAAGTTCTGTTTGTGCTATTGTTCTCTTAAAACCCCTTTACTTGTCTCCATTACTTAGTGGATGATAGTTGAATCATTAACTTACAATTAGATCTTCAAAGCATCTCTATAGCCCCATCTTCTGCTGATTATTTTCCTTACCCCCTCTTCCTCCACCCCAACTCTAACCATCCCTGACGACTTCTCTTCATTCAGATTTTCTTGATAACAGTTCAACCTTCCACTTGAACTTCTGTTATTACAATGAATATCTTTATTATAGCAGGTTTTCATCATCCATATAGTTCCCTGGTATATAAATGGCTTTACAGTGACTGAATAGTTCTTCATAATATATAGAAAACCATGTCATTTTATGAAACATTAGTATGGTTTACTTATGGAAATATTACTTTCAGGGCATGGTTCTTAGTGATTTTTAAGGCAAGCACTCTTTGGTAATTAAATAAACCTTAAGTACCCTCTTACCATGTAAATAGGGATAAACCCCTAACACTTTTAAATTTTATTTTAGAGGAGCCACATCCCTCTGAATTCTGTCCATATTAAAATCTCTTGCAATAGACTATCCATAATTGTTGGTTCATGCAAAACTTCAATTGCATAAAATTGAACCTCTTGAGTTGATTTTTTTATCTTTTCAAAAGGATTGCATCTGGGTGTGGTGGCTTATGCCTGTAATCCTAACACTTTGGGGAGGCTAAGGCAGGTGGGTTGCCTCGGCCTCCTGAAGTGTTAGGATTACAGTTCCAGATCAGCCTGGGCAACATGGTGAAACCTCATCTCTACAAAAAATTAGCCAGGCATGGTGAGGCATGCCATACCATGTAGTCCCAGCTATTAGGTTGGTGCAAAAGTAATTGCAGTTTTTGCCATTAAAAGTGATGGCAAAACTGTGATTACTTTTGCACCAACCTAATGCTTGGGAGGCAGAAGGGGGAGGATCACCTAAGCCAAGGGAGGTTAAAGCTGCAGTGAGCCATGATCACGCCACTGCATTCCAGCCTGGGCAACAGAGTGAGACCATGTCTCAAAACAAAAAATGAAAAAAAAAGGATTGTCACCTGATTCAGAA